ATGGAGCAAAAATTAAATACTCATAATCGCATAATTATTAATAATTATTATAAAGGTTATTAGAGATAATCATGCTTGTTTCGAATACTTAAATTTTAAATTAAATGACATTTGAACATTTGATTTAAAGATTGTCCGAAGCTCGATTTTTCTCAATTTCATTATTGTTTTTAAAATTTTTCTTTGCATAATAGATGAATGAATGAAGTTGGAGAGGCATTGGAGACAAAGTGCTTGCAATATGCTAATGCCAAAGGTGGACTGGTGAGTAATGGTTATAATTCAAAGCTAAATTGGTAAGAACTTTGAATTGAATTCAATCCTCATGATTATCCAAATCTCAAACGGTAAAAACTTGACTGAATCAGGGTTTAACCTTGGATGCTTTTGTTGTTGATGCATTCATGAAATCGTGCTTAAAAATGAGTTGTTAAAGAGACTTTAAGGACACAAATTTCTAACCCTTTTTTCCTTCCTTCATGCCCTTTTTTCCCTCTGCTTTGAAATTTACCTTTTTTTCCCCTTTTTCCAGTTTTCACTCTCATCAGAAATTCCTTCCTCAGTTAAAAAAAATTTTCAAATAAAACTTTACCCACATGTCAGTTTATATTTTTGGTGCTAATCTCAAAGACTATATTCCCATAGACTTTTTATCTTGGTCTAAAGCAAGTCTTCATTTCCTGTTTGAGATCCGAGCTTACCAGAGGGTCATGCCTCACCCACTACAATATATAATCTTTTTAACTCAACTATTTGTTTTGGAATTTCTTTTTCTTCTATTTTTGCAGTTGCAAAACCCAATGTTAGGTCATATGCTAGGCATACGACTAGATTTATTTGATTGTCCATTCGTGATTGGTCACGTAAGAATTAGGGGAGGAAAAAATTTTAAAAAAAATTTTAAATTGTAATGTTAAGTTCAATTTGAATTGGTTTTTTTTTTTAATTTGGTTTGAATCAAATTTAAATATTAGATAAATATATATATATATATATATATTAAATTTGAATTAAATTTTAAATGAAAATATAAACAATAAAAAAAATTAAACCGAACTAAATTATATATTTTATTTTTTTATATATTTTTTAAATTTTTTATAAAATATATATCTATTTAAATATATTATAAAACTTATTAAAATAATATATAAAAAATTAAAAAATCGATAAATTAAACCAAACTGATAAATTTATTTGGATCATATCAATTTAAAAAAAAATTATTTAGATTCGGATCAAATTCAAACTTTCATAATATTATGCATTATTTAAAAAAATCAAGTTAAAACCGATCTAATATAAATCATTATCACCCCTAATAATAATTAATATTCCGAAACAAAGTTAACTGGGGTTTCGAGACGTATATCTTGAGATTAGTTCCAATGAAGAATCACTAACCAAATTTGAACCTAGACATTTCATTACTAAGGGAGCGAGCTCAACCAATTGAGTCAACTCCTTGTTGGCTCAATTCTCCTTCATTTCTAAAATTTATTTATTTTTCTTGAAATATGACACATCAACATACTAGGTTCAATAATTAATTTTATACTTTATACTAACAAACATTAGTCCGGTCAGTAAGATTTTTTTTTTTGTCAATTAGAGTTTAATTATTATGGAAGCATTTGGAGATAAAATCTTTGAATATATGTAATATTTTAATTTTAAATTGAGATATTATGAATATTTGTTATAATATATAAATAAAAATTAAAATACATATTTGTGAATTGTTTTTTTTTATGAGATAAAATTTTAAAAATTTTAAATTAATACGAATAATACTTCATAAGTTAAACGTAAATTTTCATACTTGTGCAAAATAAGGGTATCGAAATTCAATTTTTAAATAGTTAGTACCAGACTTTATATGATGTCCAATATCTTAAGTAAACAGAATATTTACTATATATTGTGTACCAGAGAAGGAAAGCTCCAAGCTGTGCTTCAACTTTCAAAGTGTAAAGAGTATCATTTCTTGACAATTAGACAGTATGAACTGCAAATCAAGGAATCAGTAGTGATCCAGATTCGGGAATGTAGCTTCGGTCCTTTAACTAAACTTGATTAAACTATTTGTTTTACTAGGGCTTTGAGGTTTTAACTAATGATTTTTTCTGTTTCTCATTAAACACGACCCAAGTCCTTGAGATTCACCACACCCTTAAAATAAGACCATAGCTAGTCATTTAGAATCAAAGACAATAAGGGTTTAATTTACCAATAAACCAAAGTTGAAAGAAAAAAAAATAAAAAAAAATTATAAGCATTGAAATTTGAATCTCATATTGATTAAATATTATTTTTTAAGAGTGATTATATGAATTAATTAAATTAAGCTATGAATTATCTTATGTAATTTTTTTAATTCTTTGATGTCATCTAATTTGGTCAATTAATGTTATTAATATTCTAATAATATTGTGTTTAATCCAGTTTGAGCTGGCAAAATAACCTGCTTTGGCTTAATGTATGCTTTTGTCAAAGTAATCAACGTAAGGTCACACTGGTTTAGCTTTTGGGATTCTGTACATTAAAGCCGGGGACCATTTTCCTGTAGAGATGGGAGGATGGTAGGAGGCAGTTCTTTCAATTTTTTTTTTTTGGCCACTTTGAGCTTATACTAAATTATTATTGATTGAAAATGAAAGCAGTCTTAAAAATTCATTAGTCAAATGTACTAGTAGATGTCTGGAAGCTAATTGAAAATTAGCAAAAAAAAAAAAAAGTGATAGCAGCCAACTTGGCAGAGTTTTTTCATGCTTTGAGAATCAAATTAATGGATGTTGGATGTGAGCCATGTCTTGGCTTGATTCGTCCTTTCTTTCTTTTCCTTTGCATCAATTTTTATTCTATTTTCTATTTTTGCCTACACTTTGCCTCTTAACTATATATACTAAAGTACATATATATATATATATATTTATATTTAACATGTTGGTTGAAAGTGGCTCCTATTCGCTACATGTAATTCATTTTTCTATTTTCAAAATATAACTTTCTTTGCAAAAAAAAAAATAAAAATGGTATTGGTCAAATCATTTTCTATCAAGTTTTGACATCTTGCTTTGTTCAATGCAAACCACAAAATGCTAATATATGTTAGTATGCTCTATTAAGGAGATTTGATTACAAAAATCATCCTTAAGTTGCTTAAGTTGAGTACATAATTTTTGTAGCAATTTTCTTTACGGAGCAGAAAAAAAAGAACTAAAAAGTTCTGAAGCTTTTTCTCATAATAATCAAGGAAAGAGTTTGCATCCATCGAAGAAGCATTTTACCAATAGATAGTAGTGCTTACCACTGTCCAATTGCTTGCTGTTCTATGTTAGCATGCTTGTTAACGCGGAAGGAAGGTAAGGGAGAAAAGGTTAAACCAATGGGCCAAGTAAGAAAGTAAACTAGAAAACAAGAAAATCAAGCATAGGCCTTTCCATAATGGGCCAAGAAACCCAACAAATTAAACTAAAGCTCTTGAACTCCTAATTAATGAATATTCTGGCACCAAAATACAAAGAGAGGACCCAAACCAAAATGGTTTCGACTCTCTGCAGTAGAGCGTCCAAGATTGTTTTCATCCGCCACCATACGACGCTGTCTTTCGTCGTTGCGTTTAGCGTCCTCCGTTTGGGCTTACTACCCGATATCCAGAAAAGACCGTCGACGGTGTAAAAATGGAAGGGAATAGCAACACTGTTCCAAGCATCTTCGTTTATGTCACTGTATCAAACAGAGAAGCAGTTTTTTTTTTTTCCAAGTGTAACTGTGAATCCCGTATCAAACGGAATCTGTGTTTGGGGAAACAAATCATAGCTCTGACAGAGCATGTCAAGGCAAATCGTGAATAGGAGTACGCACAAAAGCCTCTTTCTTATATTTTCAACAAGAATGGTAGACTTGAATTTAAAGTATGAAATTGCAACTGCAACACGGATAAGGATTGCTTTAAAAGGAAAAAAAATCAGGGTACCGTTCCTTATCATTTTGGGACATTATTTCTGTTCTCTAGGAAACTTTTGCTTAATCCCTTCAATTAAAGCTAAGAAAAGAGAACGACTTTTAAATAAAGAAACGAAGAGTGCGATAAAACAACAATGGCCCGATGTTTTCTTGACCTTACTCTCACCTCTTTCTCAGTGCACCAGAAGTAACTGCCTTGCCCGTCACTGACGGCTGTCCCCAGTATGTAGAATGGTCAAAAATAGTACAAGGGACTGAATTCTCAGATGTAGTATGAAGGCCTGAGTGTTCGAAACGATTTAATTTAAGGGTTCGGGATCTCATATACGGTTGCGTCGGACATGGCTTCGGCTGCATTTGATTTCAAATCTACCCAAGTGGAGCTCCATTTGTTAAGAAAAACTGTGCTTAATTCACCAAACATCCGTTTGGATATATAATCTAAGGTGCGAAAATAAACTTTTTTTTCAACTAAAGGTTTTAGATTCAATCGACAATCGCAAGATTGATTTTTTTTTTTTCTTTTTTATCCTTTTAATTTGACTTATTCTCTTCCTTTTTTTTTTAATTTTTTTAAAAAAAATTTATAAATAATTATAATTTAATATAATAAAAAACTATTTAATTTATTATTGTTATTTATTATTATTTAATTTATTAACATAATTATTATTTATCATAAAAATATTTTTTAAACTTTTTTATTAATTTTTATATATTAAGTAATTTAAATTTTTATTACATATAAATTTTAAACTAATATTTTTAATGTTCATTTTTCATTTTATTATAATTCATCTCATCATCACTACTATATTTATATTTAAACACATATCTTTATTATTGATTTTAACGTTATTGTTACAGTAATTAATCTTATCTTCATTACTATTTTTAATTTCATCAAAACTAATCTCACTGCACATCTAAATATAGATCTTTTTTCTTACTTGAATAAAGGTAGTGTGTCACGTTTGTAATATGAAAATTTAAAATCTATTTATGATAGCAAATTTAAAATCCTTTTCCCTCCCTTGTCAAAAGAAAATAAAATCCCCTTTCACCTGCTCATTAACGCAAAATTTACCAAAGTACCATATCCATTTTTCTTTGCCATCTTCAAAAGCAAAGTGATGATGTAAACCACAACTAGGAATAAGTAATGTGCAGTAAAGATACCAAGTCGTTGCCAAATGCTACCTATCGAAAGCACTTCTATATTCCAAAAACAAGTTTTAGTCGGGAGTATAGCGACATTGTACCATGGCTTGCTTCCCATTTTTAAATTACACACTTCAATCAACATAAACAAATGACATTCAAAGCCCACCTCCTCCAGAAGAAGAATAGGACCAACACGGTTTACAACACCTTCTACGGCTCATCTAACTGGTCCTGCATGACAACCAAGATCACATAGGATTAGGCACTGGTCATTTGGTTGAGTCAAAATCCCCATTGACATGGTCTTAGGGTCTGCTTGTGTGTGTGTGTACGTGTCACAGAGAGAGAGAGAGAGAGAGAGAGGGGCGGGCACTGACCTGCACATCCGAAGTCCAGAGAGTAAGGTTATCCCTTAGAAGTTGCATAATGAGAGTGCTGTCCTTGTATGACTCTTCTCCCAGTGTGTCAAGCTCAGCAATGGCTTCCTCAAATGCCTTTTTAAAAACAAGTGATATTTAATGAATATCTGAAATTAATTTATGATTAATTCTCACTACAACCACCAACTACACAACAACATCCAATCATTTACATAGATGGTAAAGAATGTTTCAGGAAACTAAGTCAAGATACCAAAAATGTTAGCATTTATATAAAGCATTACGCATCCAACTTATAAGGTCTCCAAACAAGTTACAGACAGTAAGTCTTCTGAGGTTGGCCTCATCTATTATTTCTCCTCATAACAGGCCAAAAAACCAAACAACTCATGCATTTGGAAATAATGTATTTGTCGCTAATTTGTTCCCTCCCCACCTACCACAAGTTTGTTCACTGACCTACAATCAGAAGTAACAAAAATGAAGACATTTATTTTGACCATTTCATTCCTCAATAAATGTTGCAGAAACTCTAGTATTTGCTCATTAACGATTTGCTTTAGCAGATCAGCATTAATACATATATTGACTACAGCTAATAACAGGACTGACACCAGTTTCTAGACAATTCTGATTTCACAAACTTCAAAATTAGATGAGAGTTTAAGGTAATAGAATAATTAGAATCAAGCAGATATGCAAACAGAGCTATATATTCACAATAATAGAAAAGAAAATTTTTTGTCACTTCAATTTAACTAATGCTGGTTCAAACTATAACTGATTCAAACTCTAATCTAATACGCTTCTAACAAAGTCATTGAGACAAACACAATAAGTCAAAGCAACCTTCTTCTAGACCTACTACATTTTAAGGCACAAAATTAAGGAAACAAGGCGGAAAATAAAGAGAATTGTGATTTGACATGGTCAAAAATGAATAGTAGCCTAGCAGGAGTAAAAGAAGAGAAGACTTTCCAACTTCACACAACTAATTTTTACAAAACAAACAACACCATGGATCAAAAATCACATTCCTTTTTATTAACCATCAGTTTATACAGCAGCCAAACAAGGTGAAATGTGATTTAAAGCCTAAAATGAACATGTTTCCCTTTAACTGCATACGGAAATTGAAGTCAATCAAATTGAATTATTAAGTTCAGGTAGGTTGAATTATAAAATTATCTATCATATGCAGTTAAACGGATAAATGGCAATCAATTAAATTCACTTGTAAAGGTCGAAACTAAACTGCCAGAGTGCCAGTGTATAGCATAAGATAATAATCCATATGAAGGGGATTAAGAGATAAAAAGGAGGAAAACACACCTGTTTAGCCATGCTACAGGCCTTATCAGTCTGATTGAGAATCTCATAATAGAACACCGAGAAATTCAGTGCCAGCCCCAGCCTGATCGGGTGCGTTGGTGCTAGATCCACCAGCGCAATATCCTTTATTAAAATCAACACAAAATCCAAAGTGTCAACATAAAAAAATACAAAAAATTTCAAGATCAAAACCCTAACCCAAAAATCATAATCCCGAAGTCAAAATCCAAAATTCTACTCTAAAATTCAACTATTTAGTCAACGCTTGGCTTCGAGGAAAAAAAGAAGTTACCTGAGCAGCCTTGTAAGACAACATAGTATCCTCAGCAGCAGCTTTCCTCTCATCACCCACCTTAAACTCCGCTAAATACCGATAATAATCTCCTTTCATCTTCAAATAGAAAACCTTCGACTCACTCGCCGCCGCAGACTGAATCAGATTCGATTCCAACAAGGTCAAGATATTGGCGCAAACGTCCGACAACTCAGTTTCGATCTTCGATCTATACTCCTTAACGAGGACGACATGTTCCTCGTTCTTCCGACCTTCTTCTTTCTGCTCGATTGAGGAAATGATTCGCCACGCGGCACGTAGAGAGCCGATCACGTTTTTATAAGCGACGGAGAGAAGGTTTCGTTCCTCTACGGTTAGTTCGGCGGCTGGAGTTGAGCCGAGGACGAGCTTTTGCATGAACTGGACCATCTCCTCGTAGCGTTCGGCTTGTTCGGCTAGCTTTGCCAAGTAAACGTATTGGTCGCGGCTTAGGTTGTCGGGGACCGTCGTCGCCATTGGCCGAAATTGGTGGGCTTTCGAGGGAGAGAAAGAGAGGAACTTTTATGGGGTTTGTCTTTTGGGGGCGCTGAGCTTGACTGAGATTTTTATGTAGGGGTGGGGAGGGTGAAATGGTAATTTTGGGAGATGATTAGTAACGTTTTTGTTCGTAGGTTCATGGTTGGGTTTTTTGTTAACTTTTTTGGCAAGAAAATAAAAGAAGTAAGGCTGATTTCGACTTTTGGGACAAGGAATGTTAGTTGAAAATCGTAATTGGACCCGAGCAAGGTTGGAAATATCGAGTTGGATAATATTTAAATTTTTTGAAAAAAAAAATTGTATTATTAATATTAATTGTTTTAATAAATTATTTTAGATTTTTTATTTAATGCACATATATTTATAAATATATTTTAATTTTATATAATAATAAAATAAATATATAATAATTTTAAATATCAAATAAATAAATTTAAAAGTTACAAAATAATATTATTAATTTATTATGATATTTTTAAATATTAATTTAATTACGTGATATTTAAATGAATATTTTTATGTAAGGATATATTAAGAAAAACCAAACAGATGGAAATAATATATATATTAAGGTAAAAAAGAAAATAACTTTGGCTTTAAGAATCTTAAATCTTAAAGAGGAATTACAATTATTTTTTTAAAGAGATTAAAAAGATATAAACTTTTGATTTGAACAAATAAATTGTAATAAAAAAAAGTTGTTCCAAAAAATAGAGAGAAATGGCTCAAATTTGAAGATTTTAAGGGTTTTATTTTTTATTAGATTAAAAATAATTTAAAAAAAGTCATAAAATTTGAAATCATGCTTCACAATAAAAAAATAATTAATATATTAAAATTCATCAAAATTAATAAAAATAATTAATATTATTTTATATTAAATTTTATATAAAAATCATCTTTAAATATATTATTTTTTATATAATTAAAATATATAAATCAATACAATCAATACCAAAACAAAATTATCCAACTTGGATCCAAGGCAGCTTAAATATATAATATTTTTATCAATACAATCAATACCAAAACAAAATTATCCAGCTTGGATCCAAGGCAGCTTAAATATATAATAATTTTATATAATTAAAATATGTAGATCAATACAACCAATACCAAAACAGGATTATCGAGCTTGGACCCAAGGCAGCTTGAAACAGTGCGTTTCAAGAAGCAAAAAAGCATGGTTGTGAAATGAAACTGTTGCTTTGCGTTTGATTGCCGGTATCAAAGCATATTTTTCATAGTCTTCATTTATATTAAAATATAATTTTGTATTAAATTTGATATCAAATAATATTAGTTATTTTTATTAATTTTTATTTAATTTGATAAAATAAAATATTTCGATGGATATCTAAATATAAAATATATTTTATAATTTTTATAAATTTTATATAATTATTTTTAACATAATAAAAATAAAATTAATTGATAAAATAAATTTTAAAAATATTTTTTATTCGGTAAATTTTGATGAAATAACATGTTTAGGTCGTTACATAAATGTAAAATATATTTTATAATTTTAATTTATTTTTTGTTATTTAATTATTTTTAATCTAATAAAAATAAAATTAATTGACAAAATAATTCTTAAAAATTGAGTTTTTATTTTATTTTTCTATATTTCATTTTTCAAACCAAATTTTATAATTTTATTTTTTATTGTTTCAAACATAAGTTTATAAGCATTTTAATTTTTTTAAAAAAATAATTATACTCATTTTATAAAATTTAACAATTATAAAGTTTTGGTTAATTTTTTTATATTTTTATTTTTATCTTAATATTTATATAAAAAATATTTATTTAAATATCATATGATCAAATTAAATATTTAAAATATCATAAAATATTTATGATATTATTTTTTATATTTTTAAACTTAATTATTTACTTTTTGAATATATTATATATTTATTTTAAAATTATTAATAATAATATAACATACAAATTCATACATATTTATAAATATATTTATATTAAATCAAAAATTTCAAAATAATTAATATCGATGTATATAATATATTTTTTAAAAATCTAAATATTATTCAACGCGATGTTAACGCTTGATGTTTTCCGTAGATTTATCGATTCCCCGCCACACCAGCTGGCCTCATGTTTAAATTTCTTTTGGCGGCTTTCAATCACAGTGCGGCAGAAATATTAATACCATGTGGCAAACATTTTCCTTTTTGTAATATTTTGGGTGAAACCATTTTATAAATTTTGATATAAATAAAGTTATAATTAAATAATTAAAAATATTTTCAAATAAAAAATTCTTTAAATTATATAAACAAATTATTATTTAATTTTTAACATAATAAAAAATTATTATAAAAATTATTTAAATTTAATATTGAATCACATTTTAATACAAATTTATTACTTTAAATATTAAAAAAAATAAAAAACATATATAAATATTACGAATCTCATATTTTAATGAATAATCATCATTGACTTGTAAACTCAAGTTTAAAATCGATTTTAATGCATATTATTTAAAAAATAAATTAATAAATAAAAATGATATCATATAAAAAATTATAGTAAAATCATAATTAGAACACTTAATAATAACTTATAAATAAAGAAATATATATGTAATATTAAAAAAAAAACTATTTATGATTAGGTCCGGGTATCGTTAATATTAAAACCACTATCAAAACTGGGGGGTTTAAGCTATCAAGCAAAGTGTTTATAGACACATCAAAAATTTGAAAAATAAAAAATTTTGAATGAAAATTTTACATTGGAAAATCTCATAATTTTTTTTGTTATTATTTTTATTAAAAAATTAATAAATTTATACAAATATATTATAAAATGAACACCTTAAAAAAATTATTGAATCTGTAATTAATGATAAATAATAATTTTATTATCCGAACTTGATTGGTTATAGGATACTTTAATTTTACTTAATCGGGTCCTAATGCAAGATACTAGCTTAGGTGTATCCACTGTTATCCTTAGTCATTATTTTTAAAGGTAAGTATATCAAATAACTGATTAAATATTGAATTTGACTGAAATTATCCTTTTAATTTGGACAATTTCAAAAATTTTGGTTGCTTAATTAAATTCTTTAAATAAGCATTTATTATTTTATATTTGGGCCAATGAGCTCAAATATTATTTTTGTGCCCAACTGATCTATTCATTTTTAGGGGTTCAGAAAAAAAAAAAAAAAAAAAAAGGTCAACTCGTTCAAGGGGCCTCATGAAAGCGGTTGAGTAAAAAAGACGAAGTTTCTTCATTCTCTTTCGCTTTCTTACCTATATATGCGCACAATTATATGCCAAACGCAATGTAAAAACTAAAATTGAAAAATAAAACTATTAGATTAATAAAATTAATCTTAAAATTATATAATACTAATTATTATTAGATTAATTAATTAATTTAATTACTTTCTAGAAATTTTTAGTAATTTTGTAACTTTCTTTTTGTTTTGTTAATAAGTCCACTCAATTCGCAAAAAGCAACGGATTCTCCGATGTACAAAAACAGGCTGTCTCCACTTTCAATGATGTGTCCGTCAAAGGTCAAAACCAAGGAGGGAATATTCCAGGGGCATCCCTGTAACTATGACCCCTCCAACACCGGCACCGGCTCATCACAGAAATTGGAAATGAAAAAAATCCAAACAATCAACGTGTGAACCAGGTACAACCAGCCGATGCACGAGCCGCCGTCAAAACCAAATCGAGGAAAAACACAAATAGAAACCTCAGAAAACCCCAAAGCATTTCAGTTCATCATTTCTTCAAATAATGTCAAACCCCAACTCCCCCAATCCAATGGTCTAAACGAAAATATCTTTCTCTATGTGTTTTGCCCCCATCGTTATCATCGTTTCGCTTTCACTCGTCTTTGTTTCTTCAATGGCCTCTCTCCCAGGCCTCTGCCCTTCTTCCCCTTCTTTGAAGCCTAAGCATAACCGAATCTCCAAGCCCATTCCTTCGCTTCCCAAACACTCACTGGCATTCTCAACTCAATCTAACCCCAACTCTAAACCCGTCGCCACTCAGTCCGTCGCTCGCGAAATATCCGCCGATTTGTCCAAAATGAACAACGTTGGCGTTTTGAAGACGGCCAAGCAAGGGGGACTCGAGAAAGATCCTAAAGCGCTGTGGAGGAGATACGTTGACTGGTTGTACCAGCACAAGGAGCTCGGGTTGTACCTCGATGTCAGTAGGATCGGTTTCTCGGATGAGTTCGTCGCCGAAATGGAGCCTCGATTCCAAGCCGCGTTTAAAACTATGGAGGAATTGGAAAAAGGAGCCATCGCCAATCCCGATGAAGGACGGATGGTGGGCCACTATTGGTTGAGGAACGCGAAACTCGCGCCAAATTCGTTTCTGAGAATACAGATTGAGAAAACTCTCGACGCCGTTTGCAAGTTCGCTGATGACGTCATCAGCGGTAAGGTTAGTTTGCGGTTCCGTTTTAACTCGCTGGAACCAACTAGTAAAGTAGATCATCAAGCTTCAAGCCGGATTAAGTTAATAATCAATTTGCTTAATCCCTTTTCAAACTGCAGATTAAACCTCCGACTTCTCCAGAAGGTCGTTTTACTCAAATACTCTCTGTTGGGATTGGAGGTTCGGCTCTTGGGCCGCAGTTCGTCGCGGAAGCATTAGCTCCTGATAATCCTCCTCTAAAGGTATCTGATCAATCATATTACCTCATGTTCTTTGGTTTTTACTGGAAGTAAAATGCCAATTTTATTTCTGTTTTTTTAAAAGAACAATTTGTGTTAGTAGGTTCTATTTTAAAGTAGTTTTATTAATTTGAATTATGTATTACATTTGTTTATTCGCAATAAGCTGAGGATTTAGTTTGCTGACAGCAATGGAGCTTCTTAATAGTTTTTATTTGTTAAAGCAATGCTCTAACTTCAGTTTTCAGTTTTTGAGTTGCCTCATAAGTAAAGGATTTCAAGTATTAATTATATACTTTTTCTTGGAATTGGCTGTTAATTGGCAGTTAAGTTTCATTGATAATACAGATCCTGCTGGAATTGATCATCAGATTGCACAACTTGGCTCCGAACTGGCTTCTACACTTGTAATTGTGATTTCAAAGGTACATATCAAGTCATGGTTAATATCTCTACAACATTTTTTGTTCTTTTTTTTTTTTTTTTTTTTCATTCTGATTTGTTTACATGTTTTCTGGATTATATATGACATTTGTTGTGTATTTATCTAATAAAAACCTATCTACCCAGAGTGGAGGTACCCCTGAAACAAGAAATGGTCTGTTGGAAGTACAGAAAGCCTTTTGTGAAGCTGGTCTTGATTTTTCGAAACAGGTTTTGATCTCAGGTTCTTATTTCTGCTTTTATTTGTCTTACCCTGCTTCAGAGTATGATTTCAAAATTTTACTTTGGTATTTAATTCAAGCTAGGTTGTCATTGGAGGATATCAAGAGGCTTCATAAGTAGAGTTAGATGTAGATATGCATGCATGGTGGAAGTATTCTTTCATAAAATGCTAAAAACCACATAGGTTTACACACATATGGTTTTTATCCTTTTCTATTGTTTAACTGGCCTATATTTGTTCTGCCACCATAATGGAGAGTGTTGTACAACTGCCTCTATGATCTGTTTATTATTATTATTATTATTATTAATGTTCTATAAAAGAAAAGTTCTTATTGTGTTTAATAGGCTTGTTGAATTTTTCCAAGTTAGTTGATGTTAGCTTGCTTTTTTAAACCATACTCTGTATTAGAAACTATACGTAGTTCTTTCTATATGATCCCTTGCATAGAGACTTCACTTGGAAGTACTGAATCTAATATTGCATTTAGATGAGAATTATGTGTTCTTGTTCTCCTTTACTCTGGAAGCAGATTTCCCCACTAATTTGATTCTCAACTATATATATGTTACTTATGTATATTTTATGCAGGGTGTTGCTATTACACAAGAAAATTCTTTGTTGGACAACACAGCGAAGATTGAGGGTTGGGTAGCTAGATTCCCTATGTTTGATTGGGTTGGTGGCAGGACGTCTGAAATGTCTGCAGTAGGTCTACTTCCAGCAGCACTTCAGGCAAGTAGTCTATGGATTTAAATATTTAAGGCAGTTATTAGTTTACTTCCTGACAGTTCTAAGTGAATATTACTGCAGGGAATTGATATAAGAGAAATGCTTGTCGGTGCAACTATGATGGACGACGCCACTAGGAGCACAGTGGTAGGTTTTGGAATGTTGTCTTCATGGTTGCTTTAACCTATTGTGAGGCTGCTCTGAAATGATTTAGTAGGGAGAGTTGAATTATGATAATTGCAATCTTTACTTGGTGACCTTGGGTTGCTTGTCTCCATTCCCTTGATGTTGCCTATTTTGGAAAGTAAGAGTTCAGTTGGCAGTTTGTGAGCATGGCAAAACTTACTCCTCATCTTCTATTTGAAATGCTAGCTTGTTTTAGTTTGCCTTTAACTTCCTATATTTATTTTGTATCTTGCCTGTATTCCACCTGTTATTGCCAATAGATCCCCTGATTGACATGCATATTTTTTCCTCTTTTCCTTCAGCTTAGGAATAATCCTGCAGCATTGCTTGGTTTATGTTGGTATTGGGCATCTGATGGGGTTGGATCTAAGGTATTCAATTCTTAACTATATTACAGAACTTATGTTGTACAAATTTGTTTCTCATATTAGTGGCTTCGCATGTTGGGTTTATTCAGGATATGGTTGTCCTTCCTTACAAGGACAGCTTATTACTATTTATTTAGTAGGTACTTACAGCAGCTGGTTATGGAATCACTTGGCAAGGAGTTTGACCTGGATGGTAACCGGGTATGTGTAACTATTTAAGATGACTAATGCCACTTTATTTTAGGATGCATCTTCGAGACTACTTTTAGTTCACTAGTGGCCACTATGTACAAAATGCTAAAATATAGGACTATTTCTAGTCAATCACTCTCAATACTCCACATGGTGGGTGTGTTAACGGGATAAAGCATATGAGCTGATATGAGGACTTTTTTGTTGGGGGAGAATGAATGATGGTTCCATCAGTGATTGAGTCTTAGGTTAGGAGTATTTCTTTAGTTATAGATATTCTCTTGTTTACCTGCAGCTATTTAATAGATTAATTGTCGTCACATCTTCCCCATTGAAGTTTTTGGCATAATCAAAGATTTTTTAATGTGGTTGTTGTATTGACATTATTTAGCAGTTAAGTGATGGGGACACTTGTTATATATTGATGAAAGAAGAGAGAGACTTTTTATTTGTTTTATTCATTGACATAGCATGAATACTAAGTAGGAGAATATTCTCAAGTACAAGGAACCTTATTGGAGGCATTAACCTTAATTTAACAAATTCTGTGCTTTAGCCCACCCACCCCCCACCCCCCCCCAACACGGCAATACATATAATGTACAATTTATTAATATCAAAGCATTATTAAATGAGCCGGCTTCTTTGAAACTTTCAACATTTGTTACTTGGGATCCAAACATTCACTGAGGTTGGAGCATGATACAATTGTATTGCAGTTTAATATTTTTGGGCTTTGTGTTGAATATTTACTCATTGATAAACATATTGGGGTTGCTTTCTTACATGATTAGATTTAGTAAAAAACACTACTTCTTAATTGATCAGGTAAATCAAGGAATTTCTGTTTATGGGAATAAAGGAAGCACAGATCAGCACGCGTAGGTTTTCCTTATGCCTTTCAAATTTGTTTGATCTTTATTGATGGAACCAATGCTCAGGCTTGATGCTAATTTCCACATATTATCAATTTATAGCTATATTCAACAACTGAGGGAGGGTGTGCATAATTTCTTTGTGACATTCATTGAAGTGCTACGTGATAGACCCCCTGGTCATGATTGGGAGCTTGAGCCAGGTGTTACATGTGGTGACTACCTGTTTGGAATGCTACAGGTTTGATAAGTGCCAGTTTTCTAAAACAGCAGATTTTCTAAATGTACACATGATAAAGGCTGATAATCTTTGCATTCTATAACTTGCTTGTGCAGGGAACAAGATCAGCTCTGTATGCAAATGACCGAGAGTCCATCACTGTCACTGTACAGGAGGTGACAACTAGAACTGTTGGGGCTCTCATAGCACTTTATGAGCGAGCTGTTGGAATTTATGCTGCACTTATCAACATTAATGCTTACCATCAACCTGGTAAGTATATGTTTCATCTTCTATTTAAGAAATTTAATCCTTGAAGTGAACTAAAAAGGATATTGTGTAGCTGGGTCATATCTTCTAACGTAGCTGTTCGATCTAAATGTTCTTTGCTCGTTAATTAATCTGATTGTCTTTCTTTCTATATTTTTCCAATTCAATTTTCATCTTAGGTGTGGAGGCTGGGAAAAAAGCAGCAGGGGAAGTATTAGCTCTACAAAAGCGGGTTTTAGCAGTACTCAATGAGGCCAGGTACGATGTTAGATCCTTAAAATCAGGTATTTATGGTGCAATAGGACCAAATGTCATTAGATATGCCAGATAAATGCTTCAGGGAAGCAACATGCTTAAAACAGTTATTTGCCAAGGTTATTGTCAATCTCTAGACATCCTTTATGGATGAATTAGAATGTTTTAGTAGGTCACAGAATTAGAATGTCTTTGTAGATTACAGCAACTGATATTCTCTCACTTTTAGGCCTTGTAGCCCATCTTTCTCTCTCTTGTTCCTCTGTGGTTCAAAGGCCTGATGACCTTCAATGCAATTCCCGTTTTATGCTCTGTTTTGTTATCGTTTAATTTGGCTTAGGTTGTTTGTACGCACGCGTGTTTTGTTTATTGTTGTTGTTTTTTGCTGATTACTGTTTTCTGTTTCACTTTGTTCAGCTGTAAAGAACCTGTTGAACCATTGACGCTCGAAGAAGTGGCTGATCGTTGCCATGCTCCTGGCGATGTATGCACAAAATACTGTTCAAGGTACTTATTACTCAATAATATGCTGTGCTAACCTTCTTTGTTTTATGGATGCAGATTGAAATGATTTATAAAATCATTGAGCACATGGCTGCCAATGACAGAGCACTAATTGCTGAAGGCAGTTGCGGTTCACCGCATAGCTTAAAGGTTTTCCTCGGGGAATGTAATGTTGATGAATTGTATGCTTAAGTTAACACGATAAAATTCATGTTTCAGTGTTTATGCTTGTGCTTTCGGTACAGAAAAAAAAGCTCCAATAAAATTGGTTTACCATGTATCTCTTCTTTCCTGGGAACCATGTCTGTGATTCATGGGAACACGAGAGTTGCTGCGAATGCAACCCAATACAAGTAACATCATTTTCCATGCTTGAAAATCTCTCAGGTCGTCCATTTTCCCTTTCTTTTTAAGACAACAGGTAGAGGTAGGTGAGTACCTTACGTTAGGTTAGTGGGGGCCGTCTCCATATCAAGAAAGCCGGTTCCCACCTCCCCCCTTCTAAATATAACCTCTACCACCTTACTTTCTTAAACATGCTTCTTTCCATTTATAACGTAATTAATCATATTGACTGCCCTATTTAATAACCCCCAATATTAATTCATGAATAATTCTTTCAAATCAAGATAATAAAAACTTACATCCAAAAAGATAAAGGTCAATGATAAATTCTTTTTGTTGTTTGGATTTAAATTCAAAAAAAAATTTTGAGAAGATAATTAATTATGAATTCATTAAATTTAACATAAATGAATTTACTTAAATAAATTCAAAAATATTTAAAGCGAAATTTAAAAATATCTTATCATTAAAAAATAAAGGGATAAAAGAAAAAAAAAACTTTTATCTAATGCAACCACCTTGTTCAAAAATTTTCAAATTTCTTATCCAATGCCGTCAACATGAAATAATGACCTTATTACCACCAGCTAAGATCATCACCGTCTTGGCGCCTAGGCAATCAAAAATTCGAATTAAAAATCACCAATGTCAGAAAAACAGATCACAGCCGTTGATCACACATAACTAAGACCATAATTGATCATCATGTGACTTTTGTCTTTGTTTTCTTTTTAATTGGACAAAACTGAGGTGCAAAAACAAAAACAATAGCCGACGAGATCCAACCCCATACGGCACAAATAGAGCAAAGAGAAGAGCACGTTTTAGTTTGTTGGGGCCCACATAACCATGTGCACTTATGGAATATCGGGATGTTTTTTAGTAACAAAAAAAAAAAAAGCGTCCCCACTTACAACGTTCGACCATTAACAGTACTTTTGATTAAAACACTGAAATAACGGAGTTCCTCTTTGCCACGTCAACACCCGTTACTTTTTTCTCACCTCCAGGCTCCACCTCGCTACGTGCGCTTTTTATTCGCACTTTTTTTTTTCATTTAAATTGTGACAACGATGTCGTTTTATGCCAAATCTAAAAAGTAAAATTGAATCGACATAAGAAAATCTTGAATAAATAAAAAAATAAAGAAGAAAATGAATATAAAAATTAAAAAACCCAGAAAAATTTTTGCAGAGAAGCTCTAGAATTCAGTGTTCTCTCACTTTCTGATTCAGAGCTGAAGAAAGTTTTTTTTTTTTTTCTCTAAAGCTTCAAATACTATATTCCAAACTGATCTCTTCACTGGACTCTCTCTTTCTCTGTCGCTGTTTTTTTCTCTTTCAAAGCTCCTTTTCAGCTGTGAAACTCTGAACACTGTTTGTCGTTTCACTTCGCACATTGTTGTTCATTGGTTTTCTTCATTTTATTTTTTTTATTTTTATTTTTTTTGGTTACTTATTTTCTCTTACAAGAGATTTTGACAATGTTGGCTTAGGTAAGACTTAAGAGACAGAACAAAGAACATGTTTACTGAAGGACTTGACAACAATGCCCTCAAATGGATTCGAGAAGTAAGAGTTTTTTTTTTTTAATTTTTTTAATTTATGTTTTAATTAGTTAATGATTTGACTTAGGAGAAGAAGGAGCTTCCATATCCAAATTCTAGCTTGAGGCCTCGAATGGATCCAATTACCAAAATCCGTACTGCTGGCCGGAACTTCGGCTTACCACCGCCGGCGAAATTCAGAAGCGGCCACTTGCCGGCCACGGCAATCCCGGTGATGTCTACTACTTTAACCGGTAACGTCGAGCACGACAGTGCCTCTGCTTCTGAAAATGGCGTCACTACCGACTCAGAGGAAGATACTGTTTATGGAGGGAGGTATTCTCTTGATTCTTCTCCACAAGATGAAAGAATTCCTAATGGAACTGCTTATAGATATGGAAACCTGCCCCGAAGGCAGCCACGATATGCCTCTGCTAGTGATTATACATATTCAGATATTAGTTCGTCGATGGAGACGGTAATGGGAGGGAGAGGAAGGAATTTGGGGGATAGGTTAGGGAGAGGGAATGGGAGATATCCTGTTGGGAGGGATGGTTTTACAGAGGAGGATGAGTCTTCAGATTCAGCTCGTAGCTCTGAGTTTTCGACTACTCAAGTGGGGAGTATTAATGGCAGAATTCCTCGTAGCAGGGCATATGTTTCAGAAGGATATGCTTCAAGTGTGCCTTCTCGGATTAATGTGGAAAGTACAGCTGAAAAGGTTTGTTTTACTAAAATTTTGGCTTGAATGGTTTTGATTGTTTTCCAGATTGAGGCACAATTTTTCAATTTGATGGCAGATAGATATTGTAGCATAATTGCTGGACATAATTGGAATTTGGTGGTGAAGTTTTACATTAATTAATCAAGGTTTACAATAGTCACTTGAATGGAAATATGTGGACATAGTAGGAAAATATATAAACTTTAAGTGTATGGACTTCACACCAGTTCCATAGTTTGCTAATGTTTAGTGCAACTAAGGAGAACTGGAGCTTCTTTGCTGGATTATGTTGGCCTACTATTCGTAGCTATGTTTGCTTACTTCGGGCATTTAACACTTCTTGATTAGCTAGTCTTGTTATTCTTGCCGTCTGATGGAGCATGCACCTCTAGAACCTTTGATTTAATGAATGCATTAGGGCAATCCTTCATGATTACAGGTGGTTTTAATAAGTAAAGGTGGATTCTGAACTTCTTGGTTTCAAAATGTATGTACATTCAAAACGATTGGAACATCTAGTCATCCGTTTTAAATTGACTTTGAACATTGTAGAGACCATATGTATATTTGGCAGTTTGATTATTAATCTGTCTTTTGTATTCACTGGGTTTACTTGATTATTTGGTCCCTTCTTGGTTATCATGAGTTATATATGCTGCTCTTTCTGAGATGGTATTTTTGCAGGATTTGAACTCTAGAAAACAACAGCATGAAAAGTTCTCTGACAACGATATTCCAAGTGCACCACCATTTTCTAGTTCAGTGCAGGAATTTAAACAAGATACTGAGCATATGCCGGCGTCTGAAATACAAAGCACCAAGTATGCAGCTAATTCACATGATCCAAAGACATTCAAATCCATGTCTGGAGTTAAGTTCGAGCGTAATATGAGCAACAGGAAATCTGATAAGTTTGTAAGGTTTGTGCAATGATTTTGCATAATACTAATTTGATACACTTAATCTGAAAGCTCATTAATGTATTCAACTACTGCATATACAATCTAATGCACATTAATATTATTTATTCTCTTTGTTCCCAGAAATGGTGCTGGTGTAGAAGCTGCTACTGCATCTTCAGGTGTTCATCCAGCACGCGTCCCAACATTTCATGCAAGGTATCTCTGACCAACATGGACTCTTAGATGTTCCCAATAATGACAATAGACCTTTCTTCCTGCAGTTTATTCTATTCACAAACTGCTCTAAGTTGTTTATCATATCAAAATCAGTGCTCTTGGACCCTGGCATGCTGTAATTGCCTATGATGCATGTGTTCGACTTTGCCTTCATGCATGGGCTAGGGGTTGCATGGAAGCTCCAATTTTTCTTGAAAATGAATGTGCTCTCTTACGAGATACGTTCGGGTGAGTTTAATCTTGTTTTGTTCTTCTAGAAGGGTTACCTTGACTGATACATTCTCTACAGTAATTTTTAGTAAAAATCGTCAGCCTTGTTCTAAATTTGCCCCTTAATTTCATTAGTTCAATAAAAGTTTTCGTAATGTCTGGAAGTCCAATCAATTAGAAGATTTAAATGACTACATTTGGTAGTGGCCTCTTAAATTGATGAAAATGCCATCCATATTCTCAGAAGGAAATGATTTAAAGGATCATAATTTGGTTCCTTAATTGATCATGGAGGTTTTGGATTTGTTTATGATTTGCAAACGAGTATGCTTTATTGTTCTACTCCTGCTAATTTTAGCTCTTACTTTCGTTAAAATCTGCTTGTGGTACATAGATTACAACAAGTCCTGTTGCAATCAGAAGAGGAACTAATGGCAAAACGCTCTTCAGAGCTTACCAGTGAGGTGGCTGCCCCAAAACCTAAGAAAATTATAGGCAAGATGAAGGTGCAAGGTAAGTTTTCTATCCCAGATTTGAAAATTTTGTTTTAGTTGCTTTCTCTAGGCTATCCCTAATATTTTCTTTTCTGGCAGTGCGCAAAGTCAAAACAACCCTGGATCCACCAACTGGCTGTAGTATGTCATCTCTTAGTCTTAGGGCACCAGTAATTAAGCTGGACACTATTCGGTATCGCTTGTCCAATTTTCAGTCAACACTCCTTTCAAGGTGGCAAGCTCTTAGAAAGATTCGTGTCACACCTCATTTACCTGCAAATCGTTCTTTCTCACGCCAAAGTTTAGCATATGTGCATGCTGGAACTCAGTATATAAAACAAGTATCTGGACTGCTGAAAATTGGTGTGACAAGTTTACGCAATAGTTCTTCATCATATGAAGCTGTGCAAGGTATGTCTTTCCAAGCCCCTTGCTTTCCCGCTAGAGGTTACAGAAAGAAGGGATCCTGTTTAACCAGATTTATTCATCTTAGCTGCTGACTTGGACTTTGATGTACTCTTCCTCACTATGCTAAAAACAATAGATGCCACATCTATACCCCAATCATCAAACAGCCTAGTTCCTTATTATTCAGCTATGGATAGTGCTTTGTGAAAGATATGATTTTGCATGTGAATTGTAGATTGTTTTAAGGGCATCCCTAGTTATTTAATTGTTTGTAAGTAAGACATCTGGTTCGTACTTACTGATAGTATTGCTTGGCAATTGTTCCTTTCATTTATTTTCATTTTAATTTATGAATTGGCCAACTTATTTTTTTCTCTTTTTTTTTTTTCCCAACATTCTTCCCTTTTTGTCCACATACATAATTAGAAGCATACTCTTGCATGCTAAGACTGAAAAGTTCAGCTGAAGAAGACAGCAAAAGGATGCAGCCTGGATCTGGTGAAACTCATGTCTTGTATGTACTTGTTCCCTAATTATCCTGCTCTCATCTCTAAATTTCTTTAAGATGGTTACTGATAAGATAGGAACTGATAACTCTCGCAGCTTCCCAGATGGTTTGGGAGATGATCTAATTGTTGAAATTCAGGACTCCAAGGGGAAGCATTTTGGTCGCGTTCTTGCACAAGTGGCTACTATTGCTGAAGACTCGGTATTGTTTCAAA